CAGCCAGGATGCCGGACTCATGGAGGGGGGCGTTGATCTCGCTGATCCCGAAGGAGGATACAGATCCCAGATATATAAATAATTACAGGCCGATTTCACTTTTAAATACTGATTACAAAATATTCACACATTATAGCAAACAGATTAAAAAGGATCTTAAATTTATATATACATGTAGACCAAAACGGATTTCTCCCAACTAGGCAAATAAAGAACAATTTAAGAATAGTATTAGACGTACTAGAATTTTACGAAGCTCACCCCGAGAAACAAGTAGCACTTATGTTCCTAGACTCAGAGAAAGCTTTCGACAATCTAAATTGGCAATTTTTAATTCAAAAAATTTATAATTTGAATTTGGGCACCAAATTTGAAAATATTATAACAACTATATATGATACACAACAAGCTAATATAATAGTGAATGGGGAATGCACCCGCCCAATAAAGATAGAAAAAGGAGTGAGACAGGGTTGCCCACTCTCTCCCCTGCTCTTCATATTAGCATTAGAGACATTATTAACATGAATTAGGCGGAATTCAGATATAAAGGGATTAACAGTTAAGAAAGAGGAATATAAATTGCAAGCATTTGCGGACGACATGATTTTCTTCATTGAAGAACCAAAAGACAGGGGACCAAAATTGATGAGTGAATTAGAGAAATTTGGAGCAGTAGCTGGACTTAAAATAAACAAAAAAAAAAAAAAAACACCAAATTAATGACCAAAAACCCAACAGAAAAACAGAAAACAGAACTAGAAGAAATAATGCATATACAAGTGACAAAGAAAGTGAAATACTTAGGAATTTGGCTAACCCCACACTGTAAGACACTTAAAGAAAACAATTATGATAAACTGATACACCAGGTAAAGAAAGATTTAGAATCGTGGGGGAAACTTCAAATTTCACTACTAGGCCGAATTGCTACTAAAATGAACATTCTCCCTAAATTCTTGTACCTATTCCAAACGATCCCAATTAAATTACATAAAAAGTTTTTTGAAGAACTCAATAGAATAACCCTGAAATTTATTTGGCAAGGGAAAAAACCCAGAATAAATGTAAAAGCAATGCAGGATATGAAGAGCAGGGGAGGGTTAGCATTTCCAAACTGGGAATTATACCACATGGCCACCTCGTTAGTTTGGTTGAAGGATTGGGTGAATTTAACCAATAAAAGAATACTATTTCTAGAAGGCCACGATTTACAAAGGGGGTGGCACGCTTTTCTATGGGACGTAGGGAAAACCAGTCAAAAATATTTCCATAGACATTTAATTAGAGACGCACTATTAACAATTTGGAGGAAAATAAGGAAAAAACATTATACAAAAGTACCAGTATGGATTTCAACAATGGAGGCAATGATTCACCCAAACAATTTGGAGCTTACCAAAATGATTAAATACAAAGACTTATTAGACCCACAAGGAAATTTGAAACCGAGGCTGGATTTTCAGGAGCAAGGACATAAAATTGATCAATGGGTTTACCTTCAGATTCAAAGCAGATATAAACAAGACAAAAAAGAATTCGGAATTAATAACAAACTGCAACAGTTAGATAAAATTTTATTAGGATCAAATAAAAAAAACATAACACAATTTTATAACTACTTATTAGAAACAGAACTAGAAGAAGAAATTGTAAAAGGAAATATGATTGCTTGGAGTAAGAACGTAGGGCGCAGCATCACATTAGCGGAATGGGAGAAAGTTTGGGGCAGAAACAATAAGATTACCAAATTGGCAGCATACAAGGAAAATCTTTATAAAATGTTTTATAGATGGCATCTCCCCCCTTCGAGGTTAGCGAAGATGTACCCCAACATGAGTCCGCATTGCTGGAAGTGTAGGAAAAAAGAAGAAACCTTTTTCCATATGTGGTGGTCTTGTGCAGAAACCCAAAAGTATTGGAAGAAAATCAAAACTTGGTTGGAAGAAATCACCAAAGAGCAGATCGAATACAAACCAGAGTCCTTCCTACTAGGGATTTTTGATAAGCAAATTTCCAAAAAAGCCAAATACATAACAATACACATTTTAACAGCGGCCAGATTAGCCTTCGCTCAACACTGGAAACAACATCAAATTCCATCAGAGGAAATGATTATTGAAAAAATCTCAAAATGCGCAGAAATGGATAAATTGACTTTGGCGCTAAAAAACAAAGACACTTCACTATACTACGATAGCTGGAATTGTTGGTATAATTGGATTGACCAAAGATAAATTATATATCATAAGGCATAAAAGAAAAGTATCAACCCATAATAACGAGGTAGCGATATATGTTAAAAACAGGTGTGGTTATATGACACAAGTTAAGGTTATGAAAACAAAAGAAGATCTTGCAAACTGTTAAAATAAGAATACTTTTTATCTTGTAACCTCTTTCTTTCTTTCTTTCTTTCTTTCTTTCTTTCTTTCTTTCTTTCTTTCTTTCTTTCTTTCTTTCTTTCTTTCTTTCTTTCTTTCTTTCTTTCTTCCCCCTTTCTTTTTCTTTCTTTTCTCAAAATTCTTTCCCTCTCTTCCTCTTCTCTCTTCTTTCTTTTTCTTTCTTTTGCTTATTTGTGTATGTATTGTGACTGGTTTTAATTGTAAAAATTAATAAACTATATTTATAAAAAAGAAAAAAAAGAAAATGAGGAGTAAAGTTTGAATCTGCAAGCAGACAGAGGTGAAGAAAACATACTAAACTCGACACAAAATAAATGTTTCTATCATGGGAATCTGTGGATATCTTTGGCCTCTTGGAATATTGCATGTAGGTATGCACATCACAGCTTTTAAAGACAATGAGAAGTCTTTTTGTATAGACCCCCCCAAAAAACCATTTGATTTCAAGAGTTATTGGCAGGTGAAATGGACTTAGTTGTATACACTCCTAACCATCTTTTTGCCCTTGAATCTGGGTCACTACAGGCTCTCAATGAATATAATGTGTGACAAAAACAACTACACATTCCACTTTCCATCTTTCATTCTTGTCCATTCTTGTCCATTCTTGTTCTTTGGAAAGTGGAGGACACTTAATTATTGTCTTCATAATGAGTCAATTTCTCTAATTGCAAAGATATGGTGGAAAGTGACCTTCCTAATTGGTCTTCCATAAATTAGCTTATGCTAATACTTTTACACACCTTGCAATATTGAAATATAATTCGATAGGCTACTGAGCTATTCAGAGAACATTTGTAGACCATCCTTCCCTCATCTAGTGCTGTCCAAATATGTTGAGATGTTAATTGGGAATTCTGCAGGCTATCATGCCAACATATCTAAAGAGCACAAGGCTAGAAAAGCTGATTTTGCTCTACTGTGGGAAGAAGAAATGAATGCTTACCAATAAAAACTGTACAAACATATCTTCCCAGGTAAACACAAACAATGATTTGTCCTAAATAGAATGCTAAATTGACACCAGGAGACATACTACTGTATCCCTCTTCTAAACCCACATCATAGCTGAGAGAGACTTGCTTCGTGTTTCCTGTTTCCTGAAAAAATCCACAGAGCAGGGGTGTCAAACACACGTCATCATGGCGGCATCATATGACCTATTGGAATTTTCCCTCCTCCCTTTGCCAAACCAGGCATTGGCATGACCAACCGTGATGCATCCATCCCGCAGGCCGGAAGTTTGACAGCCCTGCCATACAGGATATACATGGTGAAAAAAATGGAGACCCCCCCTCCCATTCTAAAGAAATCATGTAAAACTTTGTATGTGAGGGAATGACATAAATGCAACACCTGCTCATTTCTGTCTGAGAACTTAAGGGAAAGGTAACTGCATCTTCCATTCTTATAGATCATAAATTAAATAGGAAATGTGATGACAATATTTTCTCTCCTCTAGGTGTCACTGCTTATCAAGAAATAACATTCAATGTGAGCCACAAGGAAGCAAAATATTTCTGGTGCAAGCTAATTCAAGGGAAGCAATGATCATCGTAGCATCAGTTTATCTCTGACATGGATTAAAAACACTGCCTTACTTTGCATTGCTACAGCAAAAATCTTAAAGGGGATATATTTGAACTCTGCAAGCTACGCATTATTGAACAATAGGTGTCACTGCTTATCAAGAAATAACATTCAATGTGAGCCATAAGGAAGCAAAATATTTCTGGTGCAAGCTAATTCAGGGGAAGCAATGATCATCGTAGCATCAGTTTATCTCTGACATGGATAAAAAACACTGCCTTACTTTGCATTGCTACAGCAAAAATCTTAAGGGGATATATTTGAACTCTGCAAGCTACGCATTATTGAACAATAGACTGTACAATATTCACGGATTTAGATGTGAATGTTCTCTGTTCTTGCCTTTCACATTTAGACCAGGGCCTTTTAGGAAAACAATGGAAACAATTCCTATAACATACAACAGTGCATACTATTTGTACTACTTATATACTACTACTAATTTAAGGTAGTATAAATATTTTAAGGCAATAATACTATCTCAACCATTCTTTAAGAAAGGCTCATCAAATCAATATCCATAACACAGGCAACTTTTTTTTTTTTTGGCTTTTGTCACCTGGGAAGCATATGGGGTTTGCCTATTCACCACCTTTGTGGACAAATGTCTCTTTACTAGAATCATGTGGTTGGTGTGACTAGCTTTCTGAAACTACACTTACCATCTCTAACTTGCCTTGGCCTTCTCTGCATTGAAAGATAGTCTTGGAAATAAAATAAAAAACCAAAATATAGCCAGTAAACCATTTTCATTTTCTAAAACCACCTACAGAAATTGGAGGCATTCTTAGAAATAAAATGACACTTAACGTTGATGCTTTGATTTAGCAACATGCCAAATCCATATTCTTTGTTTTTAATGAAAGTAATCCTAAAAATAATAAAAGTTGTATGGGGCACAGAGATTTATCAGGATGGTATCTATAGACCTATAGGCATGTCAAGTTGCTTTCCTGTCTTACACAGAGATAATAATAAACTCTGTCCACACGGCTTTCATCTTACCTTTCTTGCAGCCCCACCGGTTTCATTTTGAAAGGTGATGGATTGGCAGAAAGTGGAGGCTTGATCTCAGTAGTACATTGTCCATGGGGATCTACTACAACATTTAGTACTTTATGGGTCTGTTCAGACTGGACCATTCTGTTCGCTGTCTTATATTCAGATGGAGTTCTTTGCAGAGGGACGGGAGAAAGGTGTATTTCCTGTTTTTTGTTCTTATCCTGTCTCACAGAAAATTGTATTTTCTCTTTCACTCGATATAAAACCTGTTCATAATAGAGAAAACAGTTGTTTTTACCTTAAATTCTGAAAAAAAAGCACATATTGGATTATTATTGAACTGGATAGAAGATTAGATACTAATATGATAAATAACCAATAGGCATGAAGAGCATCAACAGCACGGGTGGGATTCAATTTTTTAACAACCGGTTCTGTGGGCATGGCTTAGTTTGTGGGCATGGCTTGGTGGTCATATTATTCGCTGGGTGTGGCCAACTTAATATCACTCACATCGAGGCATGCATCTCCTCGCCTGGCCTTTCATGACTGTGGAGATGCTGCAATAGTCGTAAGTGTGAAAAATGGTCATAAGTCACTTTTTTCAGTGCCATTGTAACTTTGAATGGTCACTCCACACAAGCAAAGTACCAGCAAAGGAGGGGAAAAAAATTCCAGAGAAGTTCCTGAGACAGGAAGTCTAGTCCTGCCAAGACTGTAATAAGGGTTAATGGAGAGGCAGTTTCTGTAAGCAACACCAGAATGTTTCCTTCCTGCCTTCCTTACAGGATTAGGCCAGTAATTTCTTCTAACAACCGGTTCTCCAAACTGCTTAGAATATTAACAACCAGTTCTAGCGAATAGGTGTGAATCCCACCCCTGATCAGCAGTAATCCCACCCCTGATCAGCAGTAATAAAAAAACATTTTTCTACAGATTATTGAATGGATTGCTTAAATCATTCATTAGCTAGTTTGGCATGTATTATCTGCAATTTGGGTTTCTAGCATAATATTTCACAACAAGATTTATTGGGTTGCTTTTGTCAGGGAAACAACTAAATTGTACTGGGAACTAATTCAATAAGCAACTATTGAAAATAGACTAATGTTAGACTACTTTGTATCAATCTATTTTCAAAATATAGTATTGGCAAAGGAAATAATAAATGTTGAAGTGAAATTAAAAGAAAACAGAACTCTGGCTATAAAAGGAAATCAATAGGTAGAGATCCTTGCCTATAGCAATAATTTAAAAAAACCTTAACCAATAAGATCAATTCAATAATGCAAAGTAAATACAATGTGCTTCTTTAAAATAAAAGGCTAAAGGAAAAAAACTAATTACTCGGGGGTTTATAATAGTTAAGAAATTAGGCCAGGATGAGGAAGAACCCAGGTTCAAGCTTCCAACTGACCATGGATTGTCTTTGGCTGAGAGAATGTGACAGGTACAACCAAATTCACTTTTTGGGTTGATCTTTATAAACAGAGCAGTTGTTTACTTCTAATTGTCTGAATTGTCAAACTTTGTTAATAACAATAAATAGGAACATAATAATAATTGAATAGGCACAAAATAACAACTAGCGGTGGTAATAACCTACACCCCACAGGAAATTATTATATAAGGGTAAACCAGCATGCCACAACTAAGCATGAATGAACAGAATACATTAATCATTAAAGAAATAGAAAAGAAAGAAGCCGCTGGTTCAAATGAAAAAAAAAAGCTATTCACAGGTGGGCATTGCAGTAGTGTTTGAAAATTAAAAAAGGACATCCATCGCCACAAGTCCAGAAAAACAGATGGAAACATAAGATGAAAAGCCTGGAATATTACTGCTGACAAAAACAAAAATCAAACCATGCGGAATCTAATAAGAATTGTGCAAATGAACAGCTAATTATTTGGCTTGATACATTAGGGTTTACCAGTCAGAGCATAACTGTTAGAAACTATTTTATCATTCAGCATATAAACAACAGGAAATTGCACTAGTCATAATGCATCATTATTCTATACATATTTACAATGACTTTCACACTATTTGTTTTCCTGAAAGCATCCATAGTTACCCCAAGAAGGACACCATGGGAGGTGGGACAATTGAGAAAAAAATGCATCATTACATTCTGATGTAAAACCCATGAATTATGCACTTGAACATGACATAGGAAAGCAAGTGCCAAAGAGCAAGTTTTGTGTTGTGATTTCATCATACATGTCTTGTCTTAATTAGCAGCAAATGCGTAAACAAACATGGTAGCACTTTGTGTTTTTAAAAATTAGCCAGCTAAGGACCAAATAAGCTTATTAGAGCATGGTTAGCTAAATGTATAATTGGGTGTGAAAATGGATTCAGTGTATGATTTTTTCCCCTCTTCCAATTCAGCTGCTGTGATTCACCAAAAATCAATTTGTTGTTCAATAGGAGAATGAAAAATCTGGATTCAGTTCATGCTTTACTCCGCCTCCCCTCCAACTAATATTTGTTTAAAGGCACCATATATTTACAGTGCCAATTATAAGCATGTGTTTGGCTGAGGGCAAATAAATGAACTCACCCTTTAAAAAATGTGGGAATTGCCCCCTCAAAGTCATCTGAATGAAAGCATTACTTGGTCTATGCATGATTAAGATTCACTTTATGCCTCATTTTGCATTAACTTTGTTTGTGACTAAAAGACTGGACTGTTTTTAGCAAATAATTTCAGCACCAGTAAATCTTGTTTTGCTTTCCAGAAAGCAAAAACAGTGACAATGGAAGCTAACAGACTTACCATCAGACATGTCACAATAACAACAAAGATGCTGAGAAAGATTATGACAGCATAAAATCCTTCTTTACTCCAGAGTTTATCCGATTCATGCTTTCCTTGCAAAACATTTTTCTTTGACTTATAAAGACATAAAAGAAAAAAAAAAGTAATTATATGGTTCTGGACATGCATGTGAGAATCATTGCCCACCTAATATAAATCTTTATCTTTCTTCAATAATATTTTTATCTTTCTTCAGTAACATACAGTGCTTCAGTGATTCAATACATTTCTATTATTTTTTAAATTTTTGCATCAGTGAATATAAGATGACCCTACCAGATAGATATGCTATCGTTATATTTTGTAACATATCTAATTCCCTGTGACATTGTATGGAAGTGAAAATGGGACTTTGAAGAAGGAAAATAGGAAGTTCAACAGCTTTTGAACTTTGGTATGGGAGAAAAGTCCTAAAAATATCATGGACAGCTAAGAAAATGTATTACTAAATAAATCAACCCAAAGTTCTACTTTGATGCACAAATGACCAGGATAAAATTAGCCTGGTTTCTGTACATTATGCGAAGATCCAACTCTCTGGATAAGGCTGTGATGCTGGGAAGGGTGGACAGAAAAATATATATAAGAAAATGGACTGCATTTGGATTGGCTCAATTACTGTTGGATGGACTTGGTTACTGTGGCAACATTGGAAGATCTATGTGGTCACTGGGAATTGAAACGACTTGAGGTGAGGAAAAGAGATGAAATAATGGGAGAAGGAAAGAAAGAAAAAAATAGAGAAATTGTTTTGTTTATTTGCTTTATCCATGAAATAACAGAATAACAGAGTTGGAAGGGACCTTGGTGGTCTTCTAGTCCAACCCCCTGTTTGAGCAAGAGATTCTATACCATTCCAGACAAATGGCTGTCCAATCTTTTCTTAAAAATAAAGAATTCATTGCATTTATTAAAATCAATAACTTTTAACCTCCATATCACTTAAAACAGGATAGATTTGGTTTAGAATAGAATAGAATAGAATAGAATAGAACAGAACAGAACAGAACAGAACAGAACAGAACAGAACAGAATAGAATAGAATAGAATAGAATAGAATAGAATAGAATAGAATAGAATTCTTTATTGGCCCAGTGTGATTGGACACACAAGGAATTTGTCTTTGGTGCATATGCTCTCCAGTGTACATAAAGGAAAAATAAAATATATTCATCAAGAATCATAAGATACAACACTTAGTGATAGTCATGGATTACTAATAGCTGAAAGAAACCAACCAGGCTCCTTTAAAAAAAAACCATCAGAGTCTACATACATTGATATTAGGTTCTCATATGAATGAATGCAGCTTATGCTTTCTTGAAAAATACACAATCCTATATATACTAATTTGAAATTATAGCATGTTGAATTCCATGACGCTTACTGCTGGGATTATAAATTTTTGTTGTCATTTTAAAATTATACTTCTTTTTTCATACACACAAACACATACTATGTAATATCAAACTAAAGTAGAACAACATTATAAAACAGTAGTGGACTGCTTTACTTTCAAAGTATAGGTGATGAGAGTAACAAGTGGCCTAATGTTACCTATAACATTATCAGGGTTACAATCATTAAAAGCTTATGCTGAGGAAAATCTCCCCTTGACATGATGACCATATGACTTAGAGTCAGTCACTTTCACTCAGTTTGATTTCATTGTAGCTTACTATACAAAATAAAGAAAAATTCCATCTGTACTTTCTTGAACTTTTTGAGAAAAGGAACTCTATTAATCAGCCCTCGTGATACTGCCCGATACCAGATGACCCTCACTGAGTTGATTTCTAACCATGGAATGAAAACGAAGTTCCAGTATGCTGTGCATTAGTCCTATTTAAAGGGTAAGAACCTTTAATCTACTGTTTTAGTTAGCACCTTGATTCCCTTAGATGCACAATGAATTTAGGAATTTATAATCTAGAAAATACTAGAAAGGTCTTTATTTACTGTTTATCGGTGATGCAGTGGTTAGAGTGCAGTATTGCAAGCTACTTCTGCTGCAACCAGCTGTCTGCAATCTGGCAGATCGGATCTCACCAGGTTCAAGGTTGACTCAGCCTTCCATCCTCCCAATGTGGGTAAAATAAGGACCCAAATTGTTGGGGGCAATATGCTGACTCTGTAAACCACTTAGAGATGGCTGTAAAGCACTATAAAGCGGTATATAAGACTAAGTGCTATTACTATTGCTATCATCTGAGTTTGCAAAATAATAACAGGTCTTAAAGGAGTATCTATGAGTAACATATTAGCACTTTATAATATTGATACAGTTGCTTACCTCTGGGGATATCTCTGTAATTCCAAACTGGGTTAATCCTTGGCGTAGGATGTGGATATTAAGAGATCGTAGTACTTCCTTGGATGGGATAGTATCAGAAACTCCTTTACTACTGACTGGAGATATGAAGAGTTCAACACAGTTCCTCTTGCCCTAGCAATAATACATAAAATAAGAGAAGAATAGTTCAAAAAAACTTTGTAAGAATAAACATATAAGTTAACTGTATGAGTTACTGTTCTTGCAAGTGTCAAACAAATAATAAAAATGGATGGTTGAGATTAATTAGAATTAGCTATCTAGAAGTTCAAATTGGATCCAAGTTGATATTTTGAATATCCCAAACTACATTTCAAATATATGGATTTCCTTCCTGTTTATGTTCTATTTCAAGCTTTGTTAATTAGTGACAATTTCACTGTTGCAGAAAGCTTTTAGGAAGGGATAGAACATGGCTGGATAACATCATCTCAGCCTAATTGCAATACCCCTTAACTGGAACGTAAGAGTGATCTGGCTCCTTTTTGGCAGACAGGTGAGAAAGAGAACAGGATATCACAAAAAACAAAACAAAACAAAGGGGTTGCTAGAAAAATTTTAAAAGTGCTTTCCAGGAGAGAAAAAATCATCTGTTTTTGACATTATTATCAGTTACTTTTACTTCAGTTGTTATTTCCCAGCAGAAAGAAAAAAAAAAGTCCACTTCTGGTATTGGACTCAACTCACCGCCTCATCAGGCAAGGAAGAAAAAAATGACTGACCATCACATTAGCTCTTATTAAATTTGGTAGATCCATCAAATAGCTTCATTTAATGCTGGGTGGCTACTTTTTCCACTCAGATTATAGGTAGCCAAAAAGCAGTCACAATAAAGCTTATCCTAGAAGGCCTGCTGTGATTTGTAGCATTCCCTATCTCCATTTCTGTAACAATGTCTGTCTGTCTGTCTGTCTGTCTAACTATCATTAATATGGTGTACTGGTTATGAAGCTACACTAGAATTGACGAGAACCGGAACAAAAGCTAAGTGGGCAACTTTGCACCAGTCAGTCTCTCTTAGACTGAGAAGTTGTCTATCCATTGAACTTAACTGAATCAGTGTGGTAGATTGTAGACCATCATAACCTTCAGTAGAAAGGCTGTCATTCTGCAGTGGATTTGGGCTGATACTACACATGGATGAGCTATCCTAGAGAACCTTCTTGTCCACATTGTTACTTCTATAGCTAGCAGGTATGTAGAACCATTTATTTGTTCAGGGTTGTTGGTTTTATTTCCAGGAGGTGAAACTATGCAATAGTAAACACAAAACGAAGCCACTTACAATCAGTCGGTTGATATGGACTTGCTGCGGCAAGAGTCCTAAAGCAGCAGCCACTCCTTGGCGGAAAATCCGAAGCAAAGTGATATTCAGCTTGTTTACATCCATTTGCAGAGTCTGCAAAACAAACCCAAACAGTGCTAATCTTGCAAGGCACACACAGTTCCCTGCTAATGAGTGACCTCCGTGAATTGTGCAAATCATTTTTCCCAGGATGGCAATGTGTGAAGTCAATTTGCATTTCAAACAGAGAACAAGAGTTGGGGGAGTGAGGTCAGGGCTGCAGGATTCCAGACTATTAATGGATGTTAGTTTAAAGAATGTTAACATTTCCTCTTTTCATAACCTTAAGTTCACCATGAGGTCAACGAAATTTTTTTGGCTATACTTTTGGACCTTTTACAGGAGTTACAGTGCCAGATCACAAAGTATTGTAATAGAACTAAGTGAAACAGCATCACCCAGAAAATTTGACCTCTGATTATTATCATTCTTCCTAGAAATAAAACAAAATAATGGGTAGATTGGAGCAGCTAGTACTCTTAGCTGCTTTCAAAAAGCTAAGCTAGATCAGACATGGTTAGTGCTTGCATAGGTTACCACCAGGAAATCTCCAAACTGTAAACTAGACAAGGAAGCAAGAACAAAAAGTGTAGTCATCAGGATGAAGGAAGACTTTACCTTTTATGTTATTGTTTCTAAAGATGAGGAACATGGTGTATCAAAATTCTCCACCAAATTGGTGGGCAACAGTTGGGGAACAGTTCTTCCAGGGAAAGGAAATATCTTCAACAATTTCTGCCTTTGTGTGTATCCTTTGTGAGTATCCTGAGAAAAGCTACTAAAAAGCTCATGGGGGGATATCCCTCATGACTGAAATATGAGAAGCCAGAGAAGTTACAGGTCACTGGAATTTGATACACTCCCATGTTTCTCTTAGAGTAGACACTTTGAAACTTAAGGGGGGGAGGGGTGTCATTTTCTCAGCTTGGCATTAATCAGTGCTTCCTGCAGTGTGGAAATTAAACAACTGCAGGATCTCAACTTGTTTAGGGTATCACATGTTCCTGAACTGAAAACTGGTATTCCAACCTGACAAATGAACCTTGCTGAGTGTCCATATGACATTGATTAAATCCATCAATCAACAGTTGAAATTAGGAGTTTTACCAGGGATTAGCCAGCAAGTGGGGAAACGCCCCCCCCCCCTTTTCAGGCATTGCTCCTGATTTTTCTTTGCAAGGGTGCAGTAGGCAGTTCAGTGATTACCACATATGAGTATCCTTGGGATATATCAATTAAAAAGTAATTAGTACATGTAAATAGTGTGTTGATTTATTGCCTTAGCCCCAGTGAATTCATAGAAGTATGTGTGAGTTAATAAAATTCTATTAGCATTTTAGCAGGCCAATGTACTCAATGTCTGAGAAGCTATGGTCTAATTTATTCTGTAGAAGCAACAAATGAAGAACATTCACTAGAGGAGAGAGATTTTACTTCACTGAATTACTTAAGTTTATATTTTTGAACCAATATGTGAACCCAAATTTAGATTTCTTTAAAAATTCATTCTCTTTCAAAATTTGCAATTGTTTACTAATTTGCAAACAGTACCTTAGAGGAAGATTTGAACGAAATACTTATATTTGTGAAGATAATGTATAAAAATGCATTAAATCAGGGAAAATAGTTTTTTAACCTCTTTACATTGGACATGATTATAAATAAAAAGTATACTTGGAGAAATGTACTAAAATATATTTCACAAAGTGAAATAGAAAAAACATCACAATTCCTATCTTAAATAAGCCTTTAAATTTGTGCCATCCTAGAATTTTCAGCCAGATGAAAATCCTAGGATGGTACCAATTGGAAGGCTTGTTTAAGATAGAAATTGTGATGTTGTTTCTATTTCACTTTGTGAAATATATTTCAGCCAGGTGAAAATTCTGATTAGGTCAGATACAAACTACTTGGGCCGTGTCACTTGGCCTACTTTTAACACCACATCATCCCTGCCTAATGAAGCTGATCTCACTGTCCATCTTGGAACTTGGGTAAGTGCCACAAGGAAATTTACATGATGAGAAAGCCTCTGTGAGTAAGATCCATTCCACAAGCCTTTAAGATAAGTTTCTTTACATACCACTTATATCTTGGGCAATAATCTTCCAGGGAACAATGGAAAGAGATTAATTGGTTAGAAATTCCTCAAATACTTCTGGCACCTTTAATTCAACAAAGGAAGCATTGTATCTTTTGAAACCAGGCTACACTAATTAGTCATATTATGCCTTGTTGATCTGTACTGTTTATCATTTTTGGCACCTGCTCCTTGAGGTGAGTTCATGTTTGAATATACAGTACCATACACGCTGGCAGCCGTGACTTAGTAACCCAAAAGGAGAAGATAACCACTCCAGGGAACACAGCTTCCCAATGCAATTTATTTATCTGGTTACTACAACTGTTAGCGACAGTTTCCAGGTTTCAGGACTATAGATATGATGAATTATATCATCAGGTTATGCCTGAAAATTTGGCTAATTTATACATATATAATAAAAATAAAAAGACTAAAAACTAGTAATATTTAAATGCCTAATAGTTTCACTGGGGGAGAATAAACTCTTCACAAACAGGGGGAAAGTACTTTTTAAACCATTAGATGGAAAACAGTATTTGGTGTAACATGTGCATTAATGTGTGCATTTACATGTGCACATTCTCTGAGGTTTATACTGTATTTGAATATAGTTTCAGTGTAAAAGGCTGCTTAAAAGTAAAATTTGAGAGATATTTGAATGGGAGCTTACAACATTCTAATTTGATTTCTTCAGATTAGCAAGCAAATATTGCAAATTTCTGGCAAAAATACTTGCAGATTTTTACTTATTATCTATAGAAAGAAAATTGCATCATGGAATTCAAATGACAGTTTCACGAACTGGAAGATTTTATGGAGCTTTGGTGTCCATAGGCTCTCATGCTTTTCAAAGAATAATGAAAACAGTATAATGATTTCATGCCATAAGTTCTGCTCTTTCTGGGCATAGGTGTAACATTACAACACAGATAAAAAGGGATGAGATTTGCATTGTGACACCATGACCCTGCTAGCATTAATATGACTGTTTTGTGTCCCCCCCAAAGACTTATGTTGTAAGCATAATATCTATTTTAATATAGAGAAAAAAGTTATATTGACTATGAAAAATAAATCCTGAATCCTCTGGGGAAAAATGTTTATTATCAGGCTAGCTCAAAGATTATCACACATATCTGAGTTTGGCACTCTTTGAGTCAAGTATGATGTGGTCAAGAATGTTGAGTGTTAGGAATAGGAGTAGGGAGACTGTTGTCACAGTGTCTGCACACTGGCTTGAGATTTTCACAGAGATATCCCTGCCAGCTCAGATCTCAGTAATGAACTTATGAAACTGTTATTTGATATTTGTTATTCCAATATACATTACTTGTTACACAGCGTTACATTTACAATTGAAATCTATTGACCTAGTTTGAAGCTGAACCTTTTGTAGCTGTTTGCAATTATGATGACTGTTATTGCTATTCAGTTTAGCAAACAACTTTCATTTAAGATCAACAATGAACTTGACTGTTTCTCCTAGATTCAGCCCATTCATTAAAAACAAGTTTAAAAGCATCTATCTCAAGACAGATCTTCAGGAAACTTGAACAATTATCTAATTTATAAATAGTTTCATCCTTTCTATTCCTTGGATAGATGTTTTGATGTGACATATGTTAGGGATAACATTGTTTACCCTAACTGGTTTGGGTAAAAATAATAAATAAGTTATCATGGTTTGTTGGTTAAAGTGTGTGTAACTTTAACTACAAGAATGTAATTAAGGGTGTGGTTGTAAAAGCACCATAAAAGAAGCAAGTCAATTGCAGCTCTCTCTCTCTGGCTTAATGATCCCTAATTACTGGATGGATTGATGACTGCGTTTTTCCTTACTGGAACGGAGGAGAGAAAGGAGTGTTGATAATACGGACTGATTTATTGTAAGTGAACTGACATTGGCTATTCAACACGAACTTTGCAAATTGAGTATACCCGACTGGACTGACTAAAATGATACATTACTAATGGACCGTTTATTTTGACTATACTATAATTCCTAATGGAATAAACTATATTTTTTGATAGCACAAGCGTATCTGTTTTTTACTGCGTGTTAACTAAAATACAAACTTATCTCACACATTTACCTGTCTGCCTATCTGACTACGCTACACATTCTGTTTAGTTTGTTTTCCTTAACACTCGTTGGGGAATTCAGGCTTAACAACATATATTATTTTAAAGAATATAGATTTTTGTAGAATCCAGAATTCTGCACAGCACCAAATAAAATACGTGTTGTAATTTTGGCCTGGAACTACATATCAGTCAATAAATTTCTAAATGTTGAAGTAGATTTTATTTAGTCTCCAATATTTTCTTTATATATTATGTTAATTTAAAATTGCCTGCAGTTATGGAACAAAAACTATTTTACTAAGAAAGCATTTTAATCTTAATTTTAAACATTTTAAGCCAACCATAACATTTAATCATTTAGTTTTCTACAAAACTAAGTTAATTTACCTCTCTGTAAAGTTAATTAACTGTTCTTTTCAGGAATATTAATTTTTTTCTAGAGAGGAAAATATATATGTCATAAAAGGTAAGCTATCAGTGTGCCTAGGTGTAATGCTGCCCTAAAGTTTTTCATACCTATCATCTTTGGATTACTGTTCTAGCAGATTCTATAATATAGTTAGCTCCATAAATTATTGCACATATTTTAAGTTAGTTGCCTCTTTACTTTGCAACTATTGTAGAAGCAGGTACCTAATTGTTTGCCTAGACTTTTATTGAAGACTTTCATAGCAGACTTTCATTGTTGTAATATTTTAAAATTAGGATCTAATGCCAGAAGGCTTATTCTGGTGGAATGACATAATTGGATAAGAAGTGCTGCTATTACTGCTTATACCATTATATTTTGTGTGCATTGTGTTTTGTATTATGTTGTGATGGCTAGTTTTTAGTAAGTTAGCTTCCATCTTGGAAAGTTGTCTAAAAATAGAGAAATTTTGAAGAT